TTCAGAACCGTCGCTAGCAACCGCCGTAAACCGCCCACAATAAAACGTTTTGAAACGTCGTCTGGGCAGTTACGGCAACCGTCCACAACGTCCACCTCTGTCGACACGTGTCTTACACCATCTCGCCAAACGCTTCTACAAATTCCAGAACTCAACTGGCCCGACCGACCATTCCAGAGACTAACTGGTCACTAGATCAAACGACTTATTGGTCGCCCCATCAAGCGACCAACATCTGATCTCTCCAGGCGATTCAATGGTCGCCCCAACCAAGCGACTTGTTGGTCCGACCGCAGACCTTCCGACTTGTTTGTTCCTGCCGCAAACCTCACGACTAGCAGACCATCCGACTTGTTGGTCCAGCCGCAAACCTTCCGACCTGTAGACCATCCGACCTGCAGACTTTCCAACCTATGGACCATCCGACCCGCTAACCAACCGACCTGCCCATCCGACCGCGGACCTTCCGACCTGCCTATCCGACCGAGGACCAACCGACCGAGGGCCAACCGACCTGAGCGCAAATTTTTCTCCTTTTCCACCCGACTTCGTGTCTAACTTCCTTTAAGATTCTGCTATCCTTATTATTATTATTATTATTATTATTATTATTATTATTATTATTTGTGTATAACAACTTGCCTCCTCCGCAAGACTCCTAAGCTTCATTTCTCATGATGTTTAGGAGTTAGCAGGCCGTCATCCGAGGCCACGTCAGCCTCAGATCCGACCTCCATCTTTTGAGGCTACATTGGACCCGACCTCCATTTATCTCGGACTGGTGCTGACCTCCACGTTGGTCGATCTTGCACTACCATTTCTTCAGCACCTCCCCCCTGACAGAAGTCATGATCGTTTTCTCTTAAAAAAGATTCTAACCTCCCTGCCTTGGATGCTAAACTGGCCAGATCTTGAACGTCGTGGGCCGTTAAAGCCTCTCGCAGTTGTGTATGCATATTTTGGACCACCAAATTAGTCATCTCGCTCTCCTCAATGATTGTCGGGCAACGTCCCTTTATTAATTGCATCCGCTCTATGAATTGGTAGGCAGTTTCCTCCGTTATTTGCCTAATCTCCAGAAGGTCTGTGAGCGAGACTGTTGGAAGAGGAATAAAGAACCTTGCATGAAAGGCCGCTTCCAAACCTTCCCTACCACCTGGACAAATACAAACCTTCCCAGGAGGTTTGTATTTGTCCAGGTGGTAGATCGACAAACCACGAAAAAGCTGTTCTGGTAAGAGGCAAACCAAATAGTTGCAGTTTATAAAAAGAGTTATTACCGACCTCTCCTAACTGTGCTGTGAACCGACCCACATGCTCTATGGTGGAGGATCCGTCTTCTCCTAAGAAAACATGAAATTTTGGCGGTCGATAATTCCTCAGAAGAGGATACTCATTGATGATTCTCTCTGGAAATGGCCTTTGATACGCCGGTCGGTTCACCGTTTGTGGGTTCATTCCGAAATACACCCGCAAAACTTGAGCGATATCCTCTGGATCTATCCTGGGTGGAACAAAATCTTCCCTAGAGAAGGCTGGCTCGGCTGGAATGGGATTATGAATCTGATATCCCAATCTTTCTTCTCTGGGGACAGTTGGCTCGTCTGGAATGGGATTATGAGCCTGTCCCCTCAATCTCTCATTTGGCTGGGTATGATCAACCCTCGGTTCCAAATGAACATTATTTGGAAAAGTTAGAGGAGTCTTCCCCATATCTGTTCGGTTGAAAGTTGTGACGCTTGGAAATGTACTGTCAACGTATGTTGGCCCTGCAAACGTTGATCTTGGAAATGTCTCCTGAAAACGAGAAGGTGACACGGCTGGAGGCATGTTTGAATGCAGGGTGAATCTAGAGAACGCCTGATCCAACATGTTCTGCATTAGATTTTGTTGTTCACGCAACATGTTCTGCATAATCAAAGTTTGTTGATTGTTCAATTGTTGAACATAAGACAACCAATCGGTAGGTGGTTGGGGAATCTCCCCTGGATTTGGCATGACAGGTGGTGAAATATTTTCCCCACCGGTGCCGATGATGATTGAGGTTGTGAGCCTGCCATACTGATTTTTCTGATGATTCGGCCGGACCTCAGTCGTATGAAATTCTCTGTTGATGTAGGATCAGCAATCTTGCCTTTCTCCCACTGTGGTCGCCAATTTGTTGATGTATTTTTCAACAATAAAAAAGTAAAATTCGAAAATAGGAAATTATCTTCGAATTTGATATATTTAGCGCCTGAGATTAGGAATCTCTATACACTGTAGGATACAAAAATAAAATAGGAAAATAAAACTACAGACTGGAAAATAAAGTGGTGATCCCCAGAAGCAATTCTTTGAATTTGATGTCGATTGAAGATGCATTTCCAGAATACATCCAAATCCTTAAAGTCCTTCAAAAAATGTTTCAAAATCGTCGCCAGCAACCGCCGTCAACCGCCCACAATAAAACATTTTGAAAGGTCGTCTGGGCAGTTACGGCAACCGTCCACAAGGTCCTCATCTGTCGACACGTGTCTTACACCGTCTCGCCAAATGCTTCTACAAATTCCAGAGCTCAACTGGCCCGATCGACCATTCCAGAGACTAACTGTTCACTAGATCAAACGACTTATTGGTCGCCCCATCAAGCGACCAACATCTGATCTCTCCAGACGATTCAATGGTCGCCCCAAGCAAGCGACTTGTTGGTCCGATCGCAGACCTTCCAACTTGTTAGTTCCAGCCGCAAACCTCCCGACTTGCAGACCATCCGACTTGTTGGTCCAGCCGCAAACCTTCCGACCTGTAGACCATCCGACCTGCAGACTTTCCGACCTATGGACCATCCGACCCGCTAACTAACCGACCTGCCCATCCGACCGCGACCTTCCGACCTGCCTATCCGACCGAGGACCAACCGACCTGCTTATCCGACTGCGGACCAAGCGACCGGACCAACCGACCGAGGGCCAACCGACCTGCTTATCCGACTGCGGACCAACCGACCTGCTTATCCGACTGCGGACCAACCGACCGGACCAACCGACCTGAGCGCAAATTTTTCTCCTTTTCCACCCGACTTCGTGTCTAATTCCCTTTAAGATCCTGCTATCCTTATTTTTATTATTATTTGTGTATAACACTTTCAAAAACACATAAAAGATTTGAATCCATCTAGACATAAAATCTGACATCTTAGAAATCATCTTTTCAAATCCAAACACATAATTCGAAAAACACAATAACAACTTTGAACTAATTCACAAAAAATACAGCATTGATTCCATTCTAGCCTTATTGGTATGAGAATAGCATCAAATTGAAGGATACTTATATATTTTGTTTACAAGGCCTCTTCTTTTTCAGTAAGAAATGATAAATGACCAATTTTGAGTTTGTAACCCTAGATAAATACTCACCGCGTCACTCCATGCCTGAGCTTTTAAGTTCTGAACAATCTGTGGCCACCCTAACAATGTAACCTGCAAGTCGACATTCAGATTATTCAGTTCTCAATGGAAGATTAGTAATATGTATAGTCTACAGTCAACATGCAGCGGATATCAAAAGTCTATCAAAATTGGGAGATTTTCTTAATTAAACTGAACCATAAAAGAAACAGCCATAACACTATAAGCTCACCATAATAAACACTATAGCTTACGTTTTCCTTTGTGGAACCTTTAACCACTTCAATCAACAGCGGCAAGCACCTAGAAGTAGCCAAGTACTCAACAACAGGCTCGTAGTTGGACAGGAGCCATACACAAAGGCAGTTTTCCTAGAGAAGCTGTTCTCAATATATGTGAAATGTTATCAAGTCACCGGAAGAAGATATTACTCCAACAAATTTCCAAACCTCTTTTTAATTTCATCGATACTCATGCATGATTTACTTTATACATCCTACTAATAAAAGATGATGGCACAAATCGAGCATGGTTTCAAATGTAGAGCAAAGAAGTAAAAGAAAAATAGAAAAGATTAGGACATATGGCTACACCTGCTCTCGGCCTTGCTCTCGAATAGAATTCTGTAAAATCTGCTCACTATAGCCTGTTTCGATTAATTTATCAATTGTCTGTGGACATATAGATAAGAATATTAATTATCCATGTATAGAAATAATTATTAGCTAAAACTTAAAAGTGAGATTGAATTCACCTCCTCCTCAGCTCGATTGCCCGCCATTGAATACAAAACAAGGAATATGTCAAATCATTAAGACCAAAAGTGCAGGTTCTCAATGCAGCATTTTCGAAATATAATGTTAATACCTGTGAATACACGCCTCGAGAACCTCATGATACTCTTGCTGTATATTATCTCTTAAGGTCTGGTCTACAAATGAAAAGGGAATTGAGAAATGTAGGAGAAAATTAAATCGCATCCCCATTGTAGCGAAGCAAACAGCTAATCTACCTGAAAATGATCAGACATGCATTCTGTCTTTGAACTTCTTCTTTATAGCCCTGCATTCAAATACATAAATTATTTTATCAAATATATATGGAGAAAAAATGGGTACCAATGGTGCACAGATTGGATCATTAGCATTTTTCTTAAGGTTGATCAGATTATTTAATAATATGAATCAAGTTGTTAGGACAAAAAAAAATAAAATAAAAAAACAATTCACAAACAAAAATGATCAATCGACTCATCAATCAATCTGTTTCCTTAAAAAAAAAAAATTTAACTCAATACGTACCTTTATACAAAACCTCTACCATGCAAGGACTGGCTCAAGTCAGCATTCTTGGGCTGGTGGATGATCTTCTCTAATATATCTTTCGTCTTTGCATGCTGGACCATCTCTTGAAGAATCTTGTCCTCGATCGCCGGCATTGGCTGCTTTGATATATCCTTCTCGTTCGAAGAAGAGCAGAAATCTAATTCTGATAGCCACTCTTTCTCAGCTTGCCGGCAATATTTGTATTTCTCAGCTTTCCAGCAGTCATTAGATGGTAGGTATGGACAAACTTCTTTTGCCCAATCCTATAAGCCCGAGAAATCGCTTGCTGTTCAACTGAAGGATTCCAGACGACGTCCAGCAGAATGACCCTGGAAGCCCCGACCAGACTTATGCCCTCAGAGCAGCACCTCGTCGACGCCAGCAAGATCTTCGAATCATTTTCTGGATCATTGAATGCGTCGATCACTCTCTGGCGTTGCTTCTTCGGTAGCTTTCCTTCCAGCCTCAGAATTTCCTTCCTGGCGTTCCACTGGAAGGTCGCAGCCAGATGGTCTTTGATCAGCTCCAAGGGCGTAAGGTTCTGGCAGAAGATAAGTACTTTTTCTTTCAGCATCATACAGAGGCGGACAAACTCGAGGATGAACTTTGTTTTCACTCCTTCAAAAGGATTGAATTTCGATGCCTCGACTGCTTGCATATCAATTCCATCCGTGGGCACTTGCGACTTGCATTTTCGGATGAGGTAAGGATGAATAGATACCAAAGAAAATCCATGTTCGTTCGTAATTATTCTCTTTAACCGTTCCCCTTCCAATATGTCGATCAGCTTCTTTTGCAGTCCGGTCGGTTTAAGGAGGATGACAGAGTCTCTTAATCCGGGGAGATTCTTTTGCAGGATAGTTCCCTTGTGCACGTGCACAAACGGCGACATGGAGACTTTAAGCCTCTCCACTGCACAATTGACTGCTTCAGGAAGCAAAGCAGGCCGAGAGCTATGGGTTTTCTTATCTGAATGCAGAATCTCAGCAAATGTCCGATCCTGCATAATCTCTTCTGCCGCTGTCGGCCTTACGATGTTGACGGTGTTGAACAGCTCTGTGAAGTTGTTTTGGAACGGCGTCCCTGACAATATGATACGCTTGTCTGTCTTGACCTGAACCAGTGAAGCCCAAATCTTACTCCTCTCATTACAAGAAGTATGGCCTTCATCGAGAATCACTAGTCCAGGCATCTCAAGAAGTGTCGACCTCAGAAATCCCACCTCGCCTGCATTTGCTTCCTCGTCCTTCTGCTCCGTTAGCTTCTCAAACAGATTGTAGCTCGTCCCCAAAAGGCCTCCCCCCCTCTTCCATGAATATATATTTATCATTCTGATTGCCTCTGTATCCCGACATCTGATCTTTGCCCTATTAAAGAGATGGTCCGCAGCCGCCCTCTCGTCGCCAGTGAATGCCGGATTGTTCAGGTTGTGGAAATGAAAACTGGCATTCCACCTTCTTAACTCGGCTTCCCAGGTACCAAGTATTGTGGCTGGGACGATGATCATCGGCAGGCAGTTTGGAAACATCTTTAGATATGTCTCGAGGAACACAAGGGTCAGACGTGTCTTTCCGGTCCCTGGTGCATGAGAAATGATGCATCCGCCCACTCCAGGTAGATTTGAGTTCCTTAAGTCGACAATATCAGTACTGCCTGCCAAGTTCCTCCAGAGGAACTCAAATCCTTCTTGTTGGTGCTCGTACAGAGTTTCTCGTACACCAGCCTTGATGCTCCAAACCGAGCCTCTAATCCGGCAGCTTACTTCAGCTGCATCCGCTACTGGGGGAGTAATGGCGCCGAGATCCAGACGCTCCCCTTTCTTCTGCTTCTTCTTCTTTCCCGGCGCACGATGTGTTTTGATTGCCTGCAAGAGGAAGAAAAAGAAGCTGTATAAACGGCTACCCCCGCACAAAATTTAAACCAACCTGAAATTGCACTGACCTACTTTCAGATAACAAATTAGTGCAGAATTAGGGAGAATAGATAACTTAAGAAAGCAATCGATATATACTTACTCAGGGAGGAATTACATCCCTTGGATGAATCGCTACATGTTGACAGTAGATACAATAAAGTCCTTGATCATCTGCTAATGTCAATTCATGAAGCCCTCGAGCACATCTGCGCTCTTGGGTGTCTTCTCCTCCTCATCCACTGGAACCACCTGCAAGTCATGTACAGATTGTTAGTTAGTATATCGCTTTCTGAATATTAATAATAAAAATAGTGGTAAATTAGTTCTCAATCCGTGTCGAATCTGTTCTTGTCTATTGTTTGAATATATATATATAGATATTAATATGCACAAGTGTTGAATTTGATTGACTTACTTCATGGCTGGTAGTTGTTCCCATTTCCTCCACAGCCAAGTCAAAGTTCATGTCATCAAACAAGTCCTCCATTTCCTTAGCTACCTCAGCTTCTCGCTGTTCCTCTTCAGTCAGGGGCACGACATCCTCTTCAAACCTGAACTTCTTCGGAAGAGCAGGGTAGTCTTCAGCTTCACTGGTATGCAATGTCCCAGACGGTGGTCGGAAAATGGATTCTTCTAGGAACTTGGAGATGTCGAATCGTTTTGGCTTCATCTTCTTCGCTTTGGCCCCCGTCATGAACTTCGTCATCTCCTCAAGCCAATAGGGCATGTCATCTCCATTACGGCTGTTCCTGCTAGTCCGTGGAGCTTTGCCACGCTGTGCTTTTGACACTGAGACTGCACCCCCCCTGCTCCAATCTGTGTTCTTCGATCTCACAGATTTCCGACAGCCTCCTCTGCTTCATCTTCCTATGAGGAGAGTTCACTGCAGCCTTCCGTTTTGGAGTTCCGATTCTGTGCTGCACTGGCAAACTGTCCTCTACATTGTTGACTCTCTTAGCATTGTTCACTTTTCGTCTCTTCCTCAGAGTGAAGTCTTCATCCGAAGACAGTTCACACAGCTCACCCACAACAGAAATTGACGACTGGTGTGTATTGATTCTCCTTGTTGATCTAACCTGACGTCCAATGCCATCATCAGCAATGCCTACTTCTTCAGTGGAATCCATCAAATTGGAGAGCCCCTGAGTTTCCCTTGAGTCGCCCTCCAATGCCTACTGCTGCTGCTGCTGCTGCTGATAGTATCCCCTGAGTCGCCCTCCAAATTGTCTATTTCATGGCGTTCTTCAAGGGGAACTATCGTATTGGAGAGGCTGTCAGCATTGTCTTCGGTGGAGAGGCAGTCTAGTTCAGGGACTGTACACTCATCCCCAAAAATTCGAGCGTAAGTTTGAGCTCGACTCCTCAAATGCTCCAAAATTTCTTCCAACTCTTCTTTAGAAGGCTGCATTTTGCACTTTCCCATCCCTGAAAAAAGAAATGCAAATATTAGACTGCCTTATTTTCAAATGTTAGAATTTTCTTAAGTCAGCCATTACCTTCTAGATCATCCATCACTTCAAAGCTATCGAAACAAGCTTTGTGCACCTACAAAAGTAAAAGGCAACTGCTGGTAAGATGATGATTGTAGTTCTTGAAATGCAAGCAGTATAGCTTCAAGATCGATATACTTACTCACGATCTCAAAACCTGGCATGCATCAAGCTCCATGTGACCACAGGACGTACAAATCAATCCTTGGCAACCCCTATAGGACAGGTTATGGTTCCCGTCGGTGCATCCATCAACCTGCAAACCATAGAAATTCAATTTGAGTATAGAAGAAAAGATTACGAGTGCATATTTAGTGCAGATATTGTTCACGGGAGGCCTTCAATAATGAATGGGAAAATAGAATCATTGGCACCTTATAGTCAAATCCGGTTGTAGTGGGAAGATCATCGCCCGTTTCAGGTTGGTCATCACTTCCAGTCGTGTCAAGAACATGACCCCTCTCCGTTTCAGAATCTGCAACAATGTTGGAGAAATCATAACGTTACATTTTTTTCCCATGAAGTTTTTACCGATAAAAATGAAAGAAAAAGGGCAAATATTAATACATCACCACTTCCAAATAGATGCTCGATCGTTGCAGATATCTTATTTCGTAATTCTTCAGTGATCACAATAGCTCCATCGTTCATTCTCATTGTTGATTCGGAGCTCATTATGTCATCTGAGTGATGGTTGCATGAATATAATTAGTAATAATGATGTAATGAAACTTAAGCTAACACTTCAAAAAGAAAGAAAAAGGGGGGGGGGGGGGGGAGCAAATATTAATATTTCGTAATTCTTCAGTGATCACAATAGCTCCATCGTGCATTCTAAAACATCACCATGTCCAAATAGATGCTCGATCGTTGCAGATATCTTATTTCTGCATTCTTCAGTGATCACAATATCTCCATCGGCCATAGATCTTCTCCTTCTCTGTTGTTTATCCGTGCCATTATAAGATGATTCGCTTTGACCATCATTTACCAATGATGCTCTTCCCTCTTCTTTGGACTGAGTTCACAAGAACTTGTTTTTAAACTTCTTTAAAAAAGTCTCGTAATAGTGGATTTATATGTAAATTTATAAGGTGTTGATGCTTTCTTCTAATTTTCAATGTGGGACTTGGATTTGTACCAACACTAGTAACACTTTAATCTTTATACAAGACACAAGTCCTCTTTTTGTAACATTATTTAAAAACTAATCAGTAACTTAATAGTTTTTAATCACACCAAACAATCAACAACAAAATTCTTAAAAATACATAAAATGTTCTCTCTCTTTTTATTCTTTTCTACAACCAACACATATGTTAGAAGAATGAAGTTCTTTAGAAAAAATAATTCCCATTTGTAAAGAATATATTTAAAATGTTCAAATGTTCAAATGTGTATCATATATGAGAGTAGGGTTCCCCTAAAACAGAAAGAACCTAATTGTATATATATGATCTTATTATATGACATTTTTTGAACAAATAATAATAATAATTAATTTTTTTTTTTTTTTTAATTTAACGATTAAGCAAAATGAATCAAAATGCAATGATACTTATTAATAAAGCCAACCTAAATTCATCAAAAGCAATACTAATTTAAGAAACTGTAAAGAAAAATGACAGAAATTTGTTGTGTCTTTCTGTTGCCTTCAAACCTGCGTCAAGATCAATACTGCAACAAACGACAATAAAAATTCATAAAATATTTTCTTTATTTCCACGATCTCATTGATTTGACTTTTTTGTTAAATCTCTAGTGTACCAAAAATCAAAAACCTTATGGATATCATGAAACTAGATCTAATTGAAGCATAGCAAAAAGTAATTGAATAACAACAACAACAAAAATGTTTCAATGAAAAACAAAAAATAATCTAAAAATAAATTGTAAAAATAATCACCTTAAATTATATCATACTATCCAAGATATAGACGTAGAATTTGAAATATCATGATACGCACTCAATAATAGATTTAAGAAACATAAAAAGTCTGTTTTATAGAGAAAAAAATAAAATAGAGACTTCATGTTAAATAAAAACGGACATTTAAAAAAATTATATGACCGGAAAAGAGAAAAATATACTCATTAAGTATATAAAATTTCAATACTATCCTTATTTACTTGTGGCTTCAAATATAATTGTAAAATTATTTTACTCTCGAAACCATATAGATCTAAAACATGAATATAAAACCATCACAAGTAAACACACCCGAAAATTCATCTATCAAATATAAATAGTTTGCTATTTTAACAAAATTTCATAAATACATCAAAACAATATGTAATTATGGTCAAGCGTCGTCTTTCTATGTAGAAACTCCCTCATACTTAGCAATAGTGACATTTTCAAAAAGATATTATACCTCTCGAATAAAGATTAAGGTTTCCTTAAACCCTTCTTCTCGGTTCTAATTTCAGAAATTGGGACCAATTTTTCATAAGCAAAGAAATCAAACATAAAGATGATCTTTCAAGACATATCACCAAAATAAATACAGAAAACTTGTCATTGTTTTATAACCGATGAACATATGTTTCAATTCATAAGTGATTGCAAAGTCAAGAAAAAAAAAAAAAACAAAGAAGCTATCTTTATTATACGAAATGATTGAAATCAAGAGAGCAATATTGTGTTTGTTTTATTTTTGGGTTATTTTTCTAGATATTAAATAAGTTTTTCCTCTAGAAAACATCATCATCGAATACTATTTTATTTTTTCTTAAATATCAAATCTAATACTTATTTTCAATTTAAATTTCATTAATATTATTAAAGTAGAAAAAAATACCTCAAAAGGCAAATAAATACACCACAACTATTGATTTGTTGTAATAAATTTAATGATACTTATTACATAAGTCATCTCTTAATGATATTTTTTTATTATCACCATCTCATAATTATTAGGTAAATTAGTTTTTTCAAACTTAGAAAAAAGAAAGCAGTGTATGATAAATGTACCAATTATCAAAAGCAAATGCATGGTCACTATTTTAAGAAATTGCAAAGAAAAATAAATATACCAAACTAAATACTTACAGTTTTGTAAATTTTGGAATTCTTCGACTTTCAAATTTGCTTCAAGAAAACTGCGTACATGTAATAAATTTCACAAACGCTATATTTATATAAAATGAGAACAACAATTCATGAAATCCTTCATTTTTACGATCTTGTTTCTTATAAAGAATTTTCCATCTTCACCAATTTTGTTTTAAATTTGGCAAATGATTTTGAGTTTTAGTCCAACTTGAAGTGTATTGAAATAATCTTAAATGTATATATACAAAAGGAAAAACTAGATCTAATACAATAAAAGTAGATAAATAACAACATCAAAAAGAGAAAAGGAGAACATATATAAATAT